TGATTTAAGTCCGCTACATTACGGTCATTTAACCACAAAAAATTTCTCTTTGTAATAGAGAAAGCACAAAAGTGTAAATCCACAACAAAGGAGTAAAGCAAAATTAACGTTTTTTTCCCCAGGTCAAATATCGCTTTTTTATGGTGGGACAAGAGATTTTAAAGCCATTTCCATTACTTTTTGGTTCGCCTCTAACTCCATATAAGAAGAAAGACAAACCTAAATAATTTATACTATACTAACCGGCCCAAAAGTGAATGCCAAAGTCATTTCTTGACGCCTTCATGCATAGAAAAGGACGTAATTGAAAAGCACTATAAACATTACAAGAAGCAATATGGCAAATAATTCAAGCAAACTTAGACCAATTGCAGTTCTTTCAAAGTAGCCAAATATGGTTCAGGTACTAAACAGCAGATAAAAATAAAGCGCTGGCATTTCCTGAACAGGATAGCATCTAGTGAGGCATATATGGGGGAGTGGAGATGAATAAACTAAAGGTTACAACAATATTGGCATAGGCAATCTGGCGAATGGGGGTGTCTCAATCAGTTCACAGGTATCATGGCCATTTCATTCGTTCAGCTTGCACCACATCGACAAATTTTTGCACTGCAATTGTGGTATGAGTCCCCTGCAACAGCAATCATCAAATAGACAACCACAGCAAAGAGTTAAAGAAGAGATGAACAAGAAAGAAAAAAAAAGAAAAACAATAAACACCAGGCCCTGTTAATGTATAAAAGAAAGGAAACGATGTGTTTTTTTTTTTTTGTTGGGGGGGGGGGGGGGGGGGTGGGAGGGGTAGTTGGTGAAGGGCAGAGAAGACAACCACCCAAACACACAAGCTAATAATACTCTTATTTACACAATCTTTGATACATCCATCTACATTGACTCTTCGATGCATTGATATAATGTGAACATGCAATTCTCTAGGGGAGTGAACTGAACATTCTCGCCCGTTTGGACAGAAGAAATGTTTTCCTTTTTTTCAAAAAAATTTCACTTTTTTCCGATATCAGCGTTTGTTCATAAAATTTCCAATTTTCACTTGAAGATTCATTTTGGAAATTTTTGAAAATTTGAAAAACTCCAAAAACCTATTTTTCAAAATTTTCACTCAAATCACTCACAAAACTTCAAAAACAACCCAAAATTATATTCATGTCCAAACACAACTCAAAATTTCAAATACCATTTTTACTTGAAAATTTTTTTCATCCTTTTTTTGAAATTTAACAATTCTTATGCCAAAAGCCCACTTAGTTTCTCAAAAACAGAAATATTTTTTTCCCTTGTAATTTAATATAAACAGAAAGAACATCCATACTATTGAAAAGCAGCTGATGGTGACAAAAGACTTCCCTTTCTTCTCACTATTGAAATTATTTATCAGCAAAAAAATGGCAACATTTTTTTGGGGGGGGGGGGGGGGGGGGGGGAGGGACATCAGATAAACCCGTGGGCTTTCTGGTCCGGCTTCTAGTTGGCGCACAGGTTTCAAAGCTCTAGGGAGTAATCGGTCCTCCCCTCTACTTTTCCTTCAAAACTTAAATTACTGAGTACTGAGGCTTTTGTCCACAGCAGGATTCGAACCCGCTGCGCTACCCACACATCAAGTGCTACGTTGCCTTGAGACAGGAAAACCACAGCATTTATTCCTTTCTGATCTATTATTCCGTTTACCATGGCAAATTTCTCATGCACTCTAACTGAAACGCAATTAGCCCTTAACATTGCGTGACCAGTTATTCACAAAAATCCAGACCATACTGTCACCCTGAGGTAGCAGTAATTATTGGAACAGATCAAACCCTGCATGCCTCGAAAGGTACTATTCAGAAATTCAACTATGCCACAATAGCAAGAGACTACGTGTAGGGGCAAAGACGGATCCAAGATTTAAAGTTTATGGGTTCCTATAACGACCTTAAGTAAATATACAATAAGTAACTGAGTATCACATCAAATATTTATGGATATTTAGCGGTATTTTAACACATCAACAGGTATATAGCCAAAGCTACGGGTTACGGGAACCCAGATCTAATAAGCCTGGATCGGCCCAGTAGGGGGAATGAAAAATGCAGTAGTTGCAAGGCCTGAGGGACGAATATTAAAGTGTCGAAGCTGGAGAGAGGTAGCCATAAACCTCTGGTGGAGACGTGAGGGACTGGCTTTGATAATTGTAGAGAGGGGGCTATGTTTTAGCAGGCTGAGAACATTTTTTCCCGTATCTTTTTTCCAACTTTTGAATTTTCTGGGGGTTGGGGTGACGAGGAGCCACTGTTAGTTGGCTTTAGCCTAGTGAGGAGTTTGTTGACATGCATCAACGCTACACTGGTGTTTTGTCTGCTAGGATTGGCTTTAATGACGTTGAGAACCCAGACCGAGAGCATCTTTCATTGTTTCTGAAAGAAGTTCACGTCTTTTTATTTTCTATGAGAACATCACCTGTTTTATAAAAGCTTTTAAATAACTGGTTGCCGCTATGATTCTTCCACGATCGGCAACATCATTTAGAAAGCCAAAGGAAGAAGAGGAACTCCAAATGAGCGCCCCATAACTAAGATGAGGACACAGGGAAAAGAAAATTGGATGGGCATAGCAGCAGAGTGATGTTTTCTCAGACCCAGTTCTGCAATCTGCTATTCTGGTATATACTATTTTTACATCACAGTAATATGGGAATAAACTTGAGGTTGATATTGGGCGATAACCACACTCCAATATCAGATCCCACATTGTGTTATCTTCTTCACAACATTGAAATGGTACACAAAAATAATTTAAGATTATGGTTATCAATTCTGTAAACCAGTGTTGTTACCTCAACAAACTAACCTCTGTAATAGATACAATATGACCTAAAAGAGCAGGTCTACCTGCAAAGGAGGAGGTATAATTGGAAAGGGCTTTTACTGCAAATAAATGCTAGTAATTTCTTTTTATTATTAAAAATTCTGACGAGGATGGTTCCAGGCCAGCTGTGCACACTTAGATAATCCATCGAGCAGCCTGCTACAACTCACAAATGCAGGTGCCTAAAAACCTGCCCGTAAGGCTGGAGTAAATGGACTTAAGCTTATTATCGTAGCTTGGATCCAAACCTGAGATCTATGAGTTGCAGCTCTACTCTATGCCTTAACCACTCATACATCCCATTGGAGACAAATGCTCCAACCAGTCCAAAGATCACATAGAACGGAATTCGCCACTGCCAATTTTAAACTATGACAATATTCTTGATAGATTATGAGAATTAATTTTTTCCACTTGCATGTGCTCCTCATCCGAAAAAGAAAAATTTGTAGGTGCAGAAACTGTTTTTCACTATCAGCAAAACTAACAGACCCAGAACTTTGTATAGGCTCAGAAAATGTCACACATAAAAACAGTTTTCATTGTGTAAACATGCGTGATGGCAGGGGAAAATCCACTACAAAGTTCCATTCCAATTGTATATATCTCTATTTCTCTACATTAGGGGGAAGTGCAGGGAAATAGTATCTGGTGCAGTACACAGAACCCAACAAAATTGATGGAATAAAGTACCAACTGAAGGCCTACCTCCCAATAAAGTTGCTTGCAATCCATGCATTGCCAAAATTCCAATTCTTGTTAAACAAGCAGTTTGGAATCACCTGAAATCCCTTAGCTGCTTCAACAGCTTCTTCGGTTGTCAGAGGTCTTTGGATGAACTTACCATTGCATTTTGTGCACC